CATTGTACTTCCTCTCCTTTGTCTCTTCTCCCTCCTCTCTCTTCGTCTGTGTATGATTACCTCACCTCATTCTGTCTGGTTACGATTTGGACTATACTAATCATCAGCCGATGGACATTTATCTGGACTTGCATTGTTGACAACTGTCTTACGATCTGGGTTCATTGCAATTTGGTATCGGAGCTAATCTCCGGACGACGACATTTGTATATGGGTAAGCGCCAGGTGGCGCGCAGGTAAGTGAGGTTGAGTAGGTGATGACGTGGCAAGGGATACGTTGGGGGTGTTGACGTGGCCCATACCTCATTGACGAGAAGACATTGCCGGGGTTTGCTGACGAAGTACAGACTCCTCAGGCGAGAAGACATCCCTACCAGGCTGCTGACGTGGCAGTAGGGATCGCAACAAGGGATACCGCACGCCAACCAGGATCGCGATAGTGACGTGGCATCGCGATCCCATGCTGACGTTGGCACACATCGTGCTGCGTCTAAAGGCCCTGTTGATTGCTGATGTGGCACTCCTTGTGCTGCTGACACGACAGGGTCTACTGCAGATGCTGACGTAGCCTGGAGGAAAGATTAATTGCTGACGTGGCACGAGCAGGTCATCACACTTGTTTCATGAGGTGGTGTCTGCCTGCTGACGTGGCATTGAACTCCTTGGCTGACGAGGCATAATCTGACTGGCTGGACGGCGACGGTATCTCATGTGACGTTTGGAAGAGGCACGTGGCGAGGATCGGACTACACATTTGCTTTCGTGGCATCCCATTATTAACAGATTGGACAAAGTGTTGACGTGGCAACATTGCTTTGTTGGCACTCCAGGGATGACACGTGGCAGGCAGGATACTGCCGAGTAAGAGGTGCACTCTAAAGATGACGGCGGTACAACTGACTAGACAGATTACACAGCTGTAGTGCCAGCTGTCAGGGGGAGTGCGTGATCGCACTGACATCAAGAAGACAAAACAGACTGACGAAGGTTGCTGACAAACTGTTTGTGATTGTTGTTGGCATACTTACCTGTTGTTGTTGTGTGTGGTGTTTGCGTACTTACTTGTGTGTTGTGTCTGATCACACGGGTCTGACGCGATACCTGTACCCTCTTGTTTAGGACGTCATCACACGGACAGACAAAGAACAACAATAGTTAGAAAATAGAAATAATTGTATCTGATTCTTTTTCTCCGGTTCTTTGAAATCTTGTTGTGGTAGATCAGTGCGGCCGTGGAATTTATTACCGTTAATTAAGTATTTATTGCGCGGCAGACGCACGTCACGATGTCTTTCCTCCGGAATTCTCTAAAATTGTCGGTGCTTACACGTTTCATCCCACTTCTTTTCTACCCAGTCTCACTCATGTTTGTTGTGGATGAGGAGACTCCTGACCCCCGAACTAAGCAGCAAGTGAAAGAGCGAAAACAAGTCTTGATTGCCCGTCTGGACAAATTGATTTATGAACTTCATGACGCAGGTGCTGAGGTTGAGGCCCATGTCAGGAGCCTGTTCGATTTAAGAGCATTACATGATGCTATTGAATCGCCAGTGACAGGCACCGACGTCATTCAGGTTCAGGATATACTAATCAAGTGTTGTCAGACACGTGATAAGTATATCATGGATCAATTCTCCAAGCTTGCTGAACAGAAAGAAGAAGGAGAAAAGGTTGTGTCTGAAAAAACCATGGATGAGAATATCAGACAACTTGAATAAGCACTAGAAAGGGAGAAGAAGAGGAAAGAAGAATTGAGAAAGAAAAAGATTGAACAACAGGAACAAAAAGTTCAAGAAATTAGACAAACTGTTGTTAAAACTGAAGGGGAAGAACACGAAATTTCCTTAGCTCAGCTTGTGAATTACCTTGCCCACTTGGAAAATGAAAATCGATCAGTTTGGCGAACGGATGCAGGCACAAATTGATGATGTGGCCTCAGGGCTTTGGCTAATCACGAATTTGGTCAAAGGAAAAGAAAAAGTCAAGGAAGAAAAGACTGAAAAGACAGAGAAACTCATGGGAGATGCCATGAAGTCTCTCAAGGTAGAAACAAAGAAGACGGAAGAAAAATCAGAAACAAAGAAAGGGGAGTCTTCGAGTCCGTCGTCTTCTCCTCCCAGCTCCCCTCCTTCCTCTCCACCTCCAAAGTCTCCTTCTCCGAAGCCACAGGACAAAGTAACGGCTCCGGAGAAACCAAAGAGGAAAGAAAAAGTTAAAATGAAATTGCCTTTCACGTTTTGTAATAAGAAAGACAAAAATTTGCTTTTGTGGATCGCAGAGATTCAAACGTACTGTAGCACGGCCCCTGTCGA